GTCCACAAGAATGTGAATCTATCAGGGTGGATTACATAGTACTGTGGGTGGATCTAGAATACATGAATGTGGATTTAAAGTGGAATCACAAGAACACAAACTGGAAAAATAAAAACATTAAAAACACAAAAGAGAAATGAACAACGCAAACTGGATAAAAGTCTAAATCTTCTAAGACCAAATTACGACTCGGGTACAAAAACGGTCATGGGAAAATCCGGAACAATGGAAGAATGCTTGAGGGTCTTGGATCACACACAGGACCCAAGGTGTTGGGTCTAGACCACAAGAAAAGTAAATCTACAACACATTAGTCATGGTACAAACAGGTTCAGACCACGTAGGGTACTGAATAGTTCTGGAACGCAAATACGGAAAAGTTGGGTCTGGAACGAAAGTAGGTATGGGGATCTTGAACAATTTTACGGTGGGTTCGAACACATAACATGGGTTGGGTTTGGTTGGGATGGGTTGGGTTGGGATGGGTTGGGTTGGGTAGATGACTGGGTGGGTGAGTGGGTAGGTGGGTGGATAGGTGAGGTGGATGAGTGGGTGGGTGAGTGGGTTAGGTGAGTGATTGGGTTGGATTGGATGAGTGAGTGGGTTGGGTGGGTGGGTTGGGGTGGGGTGGATCTGGACCACACAGACTGAGGAGAAGAAACAGAGGTAAGACTGATCTTATCTTAGGTAAGGAACACACACACCTCTCCTTCTCTGCCTTCAAAACAGGTTAGAATCAACGTTAAGGAACACGGAACAAAGTAACTTCATCCTCACCTTTTCACTGCATTTATTTATTATTTGTTGAAAGGGGGGGGAGGGGGAGACTTAAATCCTCCCCCTCCCCTCCCCCCCCCGGTAACAAAGTCATCATTATTTACACCTTTCAATGGCTCAAATTTCAACAAGGTATTTCAAACACTCCAAAAAGGTAAAGCAATTTACCTCACTTTACCTGAATACAAACTCAAATCTCACCTGTATAAAAACTGAGACACACACACACACACACACACACACACACACACACACACACACACACACACACACACAAGTGGTAATAAACAAAATATATTCTCGATACGGGTGGTTGTGAGGTAGGTCGATAGGTAGGTAAGTTCTCAACTGTATCATCACAACTCAACAAAAACAACCATAATCTCTATAATCTTACACATTAGAATAACAACCAACCTACCTACCCATCACTCTCCTCCTTTCCCCTTTCTACCTCTCTCCTCCCCTCTCCTCCCTCCCTCCTCTCCTCCTCTCCTCTACAACAATACCTGGTGCACCAAAACAAACACAGGGCCTTGACGGAGTGATGACGTAATTTAATGTATGGAGGCAGTCGTTGTGGCGGTGGTTATCTGGTTGACTACATGCATAGTGTGTGTGGGTTCTTTGGCGTGGTCTGGGGGGGCCCTCAGGTGTGGTTAGGGGCCCCAGGTGTGGTCATGGGGCCTCAGGTGGTCATGGGGGCCCCAGGTGTGGTCATGGGGGCCCCAGGTGGTCATGGGGGCCCCCAGGTGTGGTCATGGGGCCCCCCAGGTGTGGTCATGGGGCCCCTGTGTGGGTCATGGGGGCCCTCAGGTGTGGTCATGGGGCCCCTCAGGTGGTCATGGGGGGCCCCAGGTGTGTCATGGGGCCTTCAGGTGTGGTCATGGGGGCCCTCAGGTGTGGTCATGGATCCTCAGGTGTGGTCAGCTTACATAGCCTGCATAGACCTACCGCAGCCTAACCAGATCTACCCCAGCCTACACAGACTTACCCCCAGCCTACAGAGACCTTCCCCCAACCTACAAAGACCTACCCCAGCCTACCCCAAACCTACACCGGCCCATACCTGCCTGGGTGGCCCACACCTTAATTACTCTGTGGGGGGGGAGGAGAGGAGGGGGAAAGGTGAGGGAGGGAGAAGGTAGAAGGAGGAGGGGGAATAGGGTGGCAGAGAGAGAGAGAGAGAGAGAGAGAGAGAGAGAGAGAGAGAGAGAGAGAGAGAGAGAGAGAGAGAGAGAGAGGTAAGAATCAGATTTTCCAACTCTCTCTCTCAACAGGTAAACACAGGTAAACACATTATTAGCCTTAACACCTCACTAACCCACTTTCAATCACTCGTTATAAGAATCTCCCAAAATAATAATTATATATATTCTTTAACTATAAGCTGCATTAATATATAGGTTATATAACTAACTTTTATCTATATTAAAGTGTAATGCAGATGTTATAATTGTTGGTGAGTTTGTTGGGTTGGTGGGTTGGTGTTGGGTTGTTGTTGGGTTGTTGGGTTGGGTTGGGTTATTGCTGGGTTGGGTTGAGCATACATGATGAATCTCAGTAAATTGAAGGTTTTAGACTTTGTATTCCCCTGAGCTGTTACCTAAGAGTGACGTGTTATCTAGGAGTGACGTGTTACCTAGGAGTGAAGTGACGAGTTACCTAGGAGTGAAGTGACGTGTTACCTAGAGTAACGCGTTATCTAGGAGTGACGTGTCAGCTGAGAGACGACATCTGATTGACGTGTTTATCTAAGATTTTGGCCAAGACGTGTTAATAATAATATGTGGAGTGAAGCGCCTCTGTTACGCACGACCACCTCGACTAAACACCACGACAGGTAAACACACACACACACACACACACACACACACACACACACACACACACACACACACACACACACACACACACACACACACACACACACACACATTACCTCAACTCATTCCTGATAATTATAACCATCACCACCAACACGTAATGAAGATAAGACCAGAATAATTGTAACGCCCTCAAGATGTTATGAGATGACCTGGACAATATATCAGGTCACCAGACGATATATATAAGACGACCTAAGCTAAAATATCCGGTCAGAAGAGAAGGTACAGTATATTATATAAAATATAAACTTAATTAAATACAAGGTTTAATTTTTTCTAAGTCACGTACATATACAAACAACAATAATAACAAGATTAATAATAATAGTACTAATAATAATAATAATAATAATAATAATAATAATAATAATAATAATAATAATAATATAATAATAATAATAATAAAATAATAATAATAATAATAATAATAATAATAATAAAATAATAATAATAATAATAATAATAATAATAATAATAATAATAATAATAATAATAATAATAATAATAAATTTAATCCTTAACTTTGACCAAAAATACTGTAGGAGTCAAGCACCTCCCCTTCAGAACACCATCACCGTACACCGTCAGTATCTCAGGGTTCTTCAATAGCTGCGGTGGCCGAGTAGACACAAGGCTCATCTGCCGTCCCAAGGGTTATTAGTTCGAGCCCAAGGCATACCCAGTTCATTCAGTTAGTTGTTAGGTTAGGTAATATCACTGAAGAGGGTAGGAAGGAATAAAGGAAAAGGGGAAAGACAGAAAGAGGGAAGAAGGGGAGAAAGAAATACTAAACAAGGACGCAGCCACAGATAACGAAAATAAATAAATAAATAAAACCAGAAAACGGATATAAAACACTTATTATTCCTAGAGGTGCGCAAGTCAGAGGGAGGAGATGTCACCTTGATGTCACCCAGGTGTTTCAATTAACATTCCACAGGTGCAGAGAGACACGCGGTGCCACCCATTAATGTGATCAAGTCAATGGGGTTGTCTTACTGTCAACTTTTCTCTGACACATATGTAATACTTGACCATTAATTGCAATCGTTGGGTGGTCTGTGGTGCCTGAGTGTGTGTGGGGTGGTGGGGGGAGGGGTGTGTGTGTGTGGTGGGGGAGGGTTGTGTGGGTGCGGTGGGGGGTTGTGTGGGTGTGTGGAGGGGAGGATTGTGTGTGTGGGATGTGGGGTAAATGAGTAGATTTTTCTGTGTTTGTGTACGTATCTGCGTATGTGTGTTAAAAGACACATACACACACACACACACACACACAGTCTACCTTATATGATGGCCGTGTACACAAACTCAGACTGTGACAAACTAAATAGTGCACAGTTAATGGGATGGTGTATAGTGTGTGTGTGTGTGTGGGGGAGGGGGGTCAGCGTACACCTGTAGTAACATACATTACCGTGTGGGCCGATGGAGAATGAACATGTGTGTGTGTGTGTGTGTGTGTGTGTGTGTGTGTGTGTGTGTGTGTGTGTGTGTGTGTGTGTGTGTGTGTGTGTGAGTGTGTGTGTGTGTGTGTGTGGGGGGGGGGGGGTCAGGTACACCTGTAGTAACATACATTACCGTGTGGATGGAGATTGTGTGTGTGTGTGTGTGTGTGTGTGTGTGTGAAAAAAATAAAACAATATATTCCAAATTATCGAAAGTGAATATTCAATAGACTCTAACATCAACTAATATACATATATACATAAATATGTATATTCCACACGCGTCTACTAAATACAATTAAAACGAGTGCATAGACGAACACAAAAAATCGCACATGAATTAATACTTCCATTAGACACACACACACACACACACACACACACACACACACACGCACACACACACACACACACACACACTGTCTGGCAGCGCAGGTACTCGACACATAATATATATATATCAACGTATCGTACCGCACCTGGTTTAATAAAATAAAATTCCTACCTGCCGGTGTTGGTATTCATAAGATGGTGAGGTGACCTGCACGCTACACGATCTGAGAGACAAATGCCCATTAGGAGAGTCGAGGGGAGAATAGGAAGATATAATGGTGTATGATGATAATTGTGGTGTGAGGCGAAGGAGGAAGAGAGAAGAAGAGGAGGAGGATGGAAAGAGGAGAGAGGAGGAGGAAGGAGGACTAAGAGTAAGAGAAGGGGGAGAAAAAGGTGGAAGGAGTAGGAGGAGGAAGCGGAGGGAGGAAGAATTGTAGAAGGCAGGAGGAGGAAGGAAGGGAAAGGAGGGAAAGGAGGAACTAGCCAAGACCACACGACCCATTACACACACACACACACACACACACACACACACACACACACATGTATACTTTACCTTGAGTAGAAAGACACAGGTAGGAAAGCCGCACCTCACCTGATGATAACACTGTAAGGTGATAAAAAGGTAGATATTAATACCTGAACCGTGGTGATGATGATGATGGTATGGTGATGATGGTGATGATGATGATGATGGTGATGATGATGATGGTGATGATGGTGGTGATGATGATGATGATGATGATGGTGATGATGATGGTGATGATGATGATGATGATGATGATGATGGTGATGATGATGGTGATGATGGTGATGATGATGATGATGATGATGGTGATGATGATGATGATGATGATGGTGATGATGATGATGATGGTGATGATGATGATGATGATGATATGATGATGATGGTGATGATGATGATGATGATGATGGTGATGATGATGATGATGATGATGATGATGGTGATGATGATGATGATGATGATGATGGTGATGATGATAAATAAACAACAACAACAACAACAATAATAATAATAATAATAATAATAATAATAATAATAATAAAATCAACAACAACAAGGGTTAAGTCATCGCACTCAATGGATTAAATCATTGTACTCAGAGACAGACAGACAGACAGACAGACAGACAGACAGATAAACACGAAAACAGAAGAAAATAAAAACATAACTCGAATTAACTGAAGAAATTCACTCAACAAATTCTTTCTAGGCCACCCCCCAAAAAAAAATATATATATACCAACTTAATTAACAAATCTTAAAATTTATATATAATTAATCTATCTCACCTAGTTGGCGTTAAGATAGATTACTCCTTCTCCATGTTTCCTTTTTCCCCTCCTCCCAACACACATATACACAAGGGGAGAGAAGGGTATGGGGAGGAAGGAAGAGGAGGAGAGGGGGAGGGAGGGGAGAGGGTGTTAACGACCGTTCAACTATCATCATACCACCAAAACAATACACTAACTACCCAATTTAAACGAGAAGGGTTAATGAATTTTGTAAACGATAAAAAAGAAATCGGAAAAACTCATTAATTAGGTTTTTAATGAGTTTATTTTCTAATGTTCCTTGGGTGCCATCTTGAAGGCGGGTCTTAACAGGTGAGGCGATAATAATCTTGGTAAAGTATCATTTTCACCTGAGTAATTAAGAGTCTTGGGTGGGAGGTGGGGAGAAGGGGTGTGGGGAGGTGGGGGAGGTGGGGAGAAAGATGAAAGGGGAGGGTGGGCTAATCTTATTAAGGTGATTTGGCTACCTGTTGGCTACCTGTTGGCTACTTGTGGGCTACTAGTGGGTTACCTATTGACTACCTGTTGGCTATATTTTGGCTACTTGTGGGTTACCTGTTGACTACCTGTTGGCTACTTGTGGGTTACCTGTTGACTACCTGTTGGCTACCTGTTGGCTACTTGTGGGCTACTAGTGGGTTACCTGTTGACTACCTGTTGGCTTTGATTTTTCGAAACCCTCAATAAAAGGGAAATTAAAACTTTGCAAAAAATAAAATAAAAAAGTTAAAAAAAGGGGTCAAATTATTACAAACTTTCAAACTCAGTAAACATAAAGTATCAGACAGCCGCAGTAACCACATCAATATTTTCACCTTACCCAAATTATTAAAACTTTTCTAAGAATGAAATAATTGAAAAAATGTCGTATTACTTTGCAAATAAATATTATAATTGCAATATTTATGTCAATTTTTGCAACAATTCTGCAATATTATTAATTTACATATAATAGAAATAACTAGGATTACCAAATGTGATAACATGTACAATGATAACACGATAATTATGATAACTATAAAATGATAACCAATAACGAATATAAAAATAATAATAACAAAAACAATGGCAATGATAACAAAGGTAAAATAACGATAACCAAATCCCTAATAAAAGATAACAATAATAACAAAAAACGATCTCAATTAACGATAACAAGTTAGTTCAACATGATAACAACCCACACCTGAGCAACACACACCTGACACAAACTAATTACTCTCTCCTCATTCCAAGATTTATTAACCTATTTTGTGTTGGCTATTTTTTTTTGTGTCGGGAGAAGGACATCGTCAACCTCCCTCTTACCTCCTCCCTCTTACCTCCCTCTTACCCTCCCTCTTCTACCTCCCTCCATTCGATGTGTTTACCCAAGTCATCCATCCCAAAGGCTTGAAAAATTATAGCAGTTTGTAGTACAGTGACGAGGCAGATTTGGTAACACATAGGTGGGTGGGTGGGGTGGGGTGGTGGGTGGGTAGGGTGGGTGGGTGGAGTGAGTGAGTGAGTTCTCTCTCTCCTTCCTTTCCTCCATACTCCCTTCAAAAGGTGTAAATCAGTGACACACACACACACACACACACCTTAACAACGCCTCAATGTTTTGGCTGGTGTCACTCGACTTAATACGCCATTAAGACTGAGTTCCTCTTAGACCATCACATCATTAGAAAAAAAACCCACACACACACACAACAACGCCAGCAAGAGCGAATACCAACGCCAGGAACAACTTTCCTCCTCCTTCAAAAGAAATTCAATAAAACTCATGAAATCAACGCCAGGTGAACGTACGCCCATCCCTTTATGCCTACACTGGCGATCTTGTGCAGGATAATTACTTCGGGTAGATGAGGCAGGCAGGTGAGGCGTTAATGAGGGCAGAGTGTCACCTTGAAGAACGTTGGCACCTCTGGTTGGTTGGCTGGCCCACCACAAGACATCTCATTAACCAATTAGAATTTAGGGTTGTCAGAAAGAAAAATAGCAATGGTTACTTGCGTCCTAAAGTTCGTGGGATGATTTCGTGGGTTTTTTTGAGAAGGAGGGGTGGTGGGAGGGGAGGGGGTAGTGGAGGGAGGGGGAGAGAGATGGGGGAGGGGAGGGGGAGATATGACCAGATTCTAGCCCTTAACAGGATTAGAAGACTTGTTAAGGGCCGCTGATGGTGGAGGTTTGTGTGTATACAGGGCAGGTAACGTGACTTTGATTTAATGAGTAGGTGTAAAGGTAACTTCCTTCCTTCCTGTGTGTGTGTGTGTATGGGGAGGGAGAGGGGGGTACTCATCTTCATCTAAGAACCACTCAGACAAACACTAGACTGGTCCATACACCAGAACAGCTATGGTCACTCCTCCTCCTCTTCCTCCTAGTCACTCAACACAGACACTCACAACTTAACACACACAAAAAAGGCCACTGAATCCACAACTTAACTTGGTGTCATTCTTATCCAAATTGTAATCACATCAAGAGTAAAACGGATCAGTGTGTGTGTGGGGGTGTTCAAATTTCCAGTAGGTTGCGTTCAGTGTGAGCAACAAGGGTGAGGTCGTCTGCATACTGAAGTTCAGTAATGAAAGCTGCCGACACCTTTGTTCCTGCCTGGAGTTGTCTTATGTTGAAAAAATCCTTCATCTTGTACTCGATGTCCACCCCGCCGGCTAAATTGGCACTGGCACGAGCTTTTGTTTTCGTATCTACACTACATAAGACTCAAGGACGACCTGTTAGTGGCTCATAAGACTCAAGGACGACCTATTAGTGACTCATAAGACTCAGGGACGACCTTTAACTGACTCATAAGACTCAAGAACGAGCTATTAGTGGCTCATAAGACTCAACAACGACCTATTAGTGGCTCATAAGACTCAAGAACGATCTATAAGTGGCTCATAAGACTCAAGAACGACCTATTAGTGGCTTATAAGACTCAAGGACGAGGTAGTTGAAGTACACCATAACAAAAAGGTGCCGTAACTACAACAGCCTCGGGTCAACACAGTGATAAATAGCAACACAAAAATGATGATGAAAAGATCCACAGGTAAGAGAATGATAAGAAGGATGATGGAGGTGTAGGATGATGGGGTCCTTAGCATGATGGAGGTGTAGGATGATGGGGTCCTTAGCATGATGGAGGTGTAGGATGATGGGGTCCTTAGCATGATGGAGGTGTAGGATGATGGGGTCCTTAGCATGATGGATGTGGAGGATGATGGGGTCCTAGCATGATGGAGGTGTAGGATGATGGGGTCCTTAGCATGATGGAGGTGTAGGGATGATGGTCCTTAGCATGATGGAGGTAGGATGATGGGGTCCTAGCATGATGGAGGTGTGAGGATGATGGCGTCCTTAGCATGATGGAGGTGTAGGATGATGGCGTCTTAACATGATGGAGGTGAGGATGATGGCGTCCTTAATATGATGGAGGTGTAGGATGATGAAGGTGTAGCAGGATAGGGTTGCAGGATGAGGGGACATAACCTGATAGGGCCACGGATGATGGGGAATTAAAAGAAAGAGAGAGGGATAGAGTTAGAGGTAGGTGGAGTGGGGGGGGTGGAGATGAGGTGAGGGGTAGAAGGAAGGAGAGATAGAGGGGAGTGAGAGGGATTGGGTGGTGGTGGGGGGGGCGTGAGAGAGGGGTTAAGGACTTCAAGACGACCCAAATTAAATTAAGGCTAGAGCGTGGCCCACCTGATGATGATGATGACAACAGGTAACAAAAGAGGCGGACCTTGTTTACACGACGGCACCCATACACCCAGCCTCCACCTCCTGATTACACCTGACGGAGCCGGCGTCGGGATGTCCTTTGATCTGCCCCTCACCTGTAATTGCCCAGGTGACACGGCTTCTCTCTGGACAACTCCTCTCTCGGGGGCATGTGTAGGAAGGGAGGGAGGAGGGGGAGGTGGTGAGCAAAAGGGTTGAAGGGGAGGGAGGAGGGAGGGATGGAGGAAGGGAAGGGGGTTGGAGGGAGGTGATGAGGGAAAGGCTTGAACTGGGGTAAAGGGTTGAAGGGAAGGAGAGGAGAGAGAGAGAGAGAGAGAGAGAGCAGCACGATAATAATGGGACACACACATACTGAAGACTATAACAGTAGCCTCGACTCAGCAAAAAAATGTCTTCGAGGAATTTGTTGGTGGAAGCGAGTCTCCTTACCTCCACACACACACACCACACACACACACACACACACACACACACACACACACACACAGTACATAATCATAAGGTGATCAAAGTCCCTCTGCACCTGAAATCTTGGGGAGGGAGGAGGGGAGTA